GGGGATATCTGTGGGGTCATCAACTAATACAGACTTCAAATCAGTTTTGGTTAAAAATGGCAGAACTTATGATATTGGCCTTAGCCAGTGTGACTGTAAGCATTACATGTTTCATTTCGGTTATTAATATCCTATTTCTGGCCAGCAGTACCTCGTACATGTATGGAGTGTCAATCATGTTACTTTGTTTCGCCCTAATGATTTACCTGCCTCTGTTAATTCGTTAATTTTGTTTTGTGTTTGTGTATTGATGACCACTTGTTTATTATTTGACTCCATTTAACGAGATTCTGACATCTATAGCATTTCAAAATCGGAGGCATCAGGAGTGCCCTTTAGCGTGGAAGTTTAGGCTCCTTGCAATCCTATGATGTTCCTTTAATACGGACAATAACAACTTTCGCATATGCGACTCTGGGAATAATGCGGACAACCTACAAGTTTCTTCTATAATCATATCAAATTTGGTGAGATTACTAGAATGCCGAAGTATATTTCTCTGTTTCCACACCAGAACAGCACCGTCTGTGATGGGAATATATTGGGCGTGCTAGTAGTCCGTTACCCTAGCGTTAACTATAGTTAACGTTATCAATATAATTCTACTGTGCATATAATGGGATGTATATGTTTGAATATAAGTGCATAAAAATAAAGTAGAAACATTGTGGAAGATGTAAATTTGAGAGGGGTTTTTAACTATTGTTATCCTTATGGACCACCCTCCCTCTAATGAGGACAGTCGTTCCCATGTCTGCTTCTACACGTTCTTCTATGTGGAGTGGGCTCGTTTATTTCCTAGCCTTTTATTGTTTTTAAGGTATACATTTTCGCCTACCTCAAAATGCCGTCTAGTAGGGTTGCACCTATCTAGGTACGCATGTTGCCCTTTTTCGATGCTGTTTCTTATTGGCAGCCTCTGAGCGTCGTTGATTGAGTGCAAGGCATATTTGTGTTTCAAGTTGGTGACTAAGTGTAATGTTTTATTATGCTCTACCGTGGCTTCCATGACGGTGACGCCGTTGGAGCTACTGTGTGGAGCGGGTGCATTAACGATGTCAATGTTATATTGGTTTTTCAACTATGTCTCCGAGTTGAAAGAATTATATTGTTTTGATAATTCGAAAAAAAATTACCAATTGTAATATGGGGCAGCGAACGTCAACTATGGCCCCAGAGGTTAATGGCGGACTTGGAAAACTTATCCACACAGGTTAAAACCAACTTCTTATCTGAGGAGTAGATGTCTATATACAGCATTTCGCCCTAAGAATTATATTGTTTTATTTATTATAAGGGGATTGATGTGACACACAATTCCTGTTTCTAGGGGTGCCTGTTGTACTTTGCCTTGGTACAAATCTTGCAGTTTATAACCACTATGTAATAAATTCCCTCTACTCGTTGGCATCCGTAATATCATTCACGAAGTTTTTGCAATGTCAAAACTTGGTTGCTGGGAATTCCGTCACTAAGGCATGCTGAATGTATGCGAGTATGTGGAGGTTTCAGTAAATAGCGTTTACAACATTTACATTTACATTTACAATCAATTAATCAATTCAAGCAGCGCGTCTTTTTTATCGATGTGGATTATATGTTGGTTTTTAGTTTACTATAAAATGTCGTCGTGAGGGCTGGCTTGCTTCTTCAAGAACTCTTTGATTCCTGTAGCAGTTCAATGGTTTGTCGGTAGTTTCGACCGTGTAGGTCAAAGACAGTTCACTGTGCACAGTGGCTGCGTCAGAATTCGTTTTCCAAAGCATTAATATTTTTTCGGTACAAAGCGTCGGCCGCAGGCCAGGCTTCTAGAACACTTCGACGTTGTGTTCTTCGATGAATGCTTTCCGTCTTTTGATTTTAGCATTTGTATTCCGCTTGGACACAGCGAAGGTAGAGCCTTCTCCCATTTGGCCTGACCGGATCTAGCTTTTGGACAAGTACTTTGACGACAATGTACCCGGCGTTTTTCTATGTTGTACCCAATCCATTTAGAGCGCGAATATAAGCGTTGAATTTATCCGATAGTTAACGAACCATTAAAACGGAACCACCCTGCACTGCCCACAGTCCCAAAATCTCAGTAACATGAGCCTGAAAAAAATGGATAACTATCTATAATTGTAGTAAACATAGAATAAATATCTGCCAACTAGCAAAGAACTCAAGATGCGGAAGCGGCTGTGCCCTATTCCAGAGTAGACGCTGCTGATCGGCACAATCACACGGAGAAATTCCGTGTTGCGTCATGCTTATTGTAGCTCGTCAATAGGGTCCAACCTCACATGGAGGACGTAATCGTCAAACGAAGTTGACGCATAGCTTGACAAGGAATCCGCTAAACGCTCCACTCTATTAAAAATTGCAGACACCTTTCCCATTATAAATGTCACCCTGTTTGCGGCAAAGGTAACGTTTCCTAATTTTCAGCAGCCATAGCAACAGCAACAACCATAACCCGGCAGAAACAGCGACTCGAAATTCGGTTCTAGCAGGAAGATGAGCACAAAGAGAATTAGCTGCAGCTTCCATTATTTGACCATACACACGCGCACAAATATAAATCGTTATGTATAAGAAATCTTGCGTAACCAAAGGAATTCCTTTTAATGCTCAATGTTTTTAACCCATTCGGAAAATATTCAATAAAAATAATGCAATAGTAGAAAAATATCGTTGTTGCACACAACAAAAGTATATCGATGTTTATTAAAATTAAAATTATTAAATTTTTTCATTACTGTGTAAAGGGGGCACATTAACGATGCCAATGGTTTTTCAATAACGAAGTTCAGGTCTCTGAATTGAAGAATGCCTCATTATCGCAGTATGTTGTTTTGGTATTTCGGAAAAAAATTACCAATTGTACTATGGGACTGCGTACGTCAATTATGGCCCTAGAAGTATGTAATAATTTCCCTCTGCTCATTAGCATCCGTGATATCACTCACGAAGTTTTTGCAATGTCAAAACTTGGTTGCTGAGAATTCCGTCACTAAGGCATGCTGGATGCATACAAGTTTAGGTAGGTTGCACAACATCTACGTTTACAACTTCTTTAATCGATCCGAACAGAGAGTCTTTATTCTCAAAGTGGATAATGTGTCGGTCCTTGTTCCCGAAAACTATAAAATGTCGCGGTAAGCGCTCGCTTGCTTTTTCTAAGATTATTTGATTTCTATAGCAGTTCAGGGGTTTGTCGGTAGTTTTGACCGTGTAGGTCAAAGACAGTTAAGTGTGCAAATTAATTATATCCTAATGCCCAGGGATCCTCTCGCAGATCCTCGGCAGATAGGGTATAGTTTATGTTGTTCCCGTGTTCCTGTAGTTATCCAGGCGGGAGTCTTCTTATGAAGATTACGGTGGAGGGCGTGACTTTGCCCCCTTTGCTGACCTTCTGGCTCAGTGTGGATAAATTAAGTCAAATGAAATATGTTTTTACGGCAAGTAGCCGGAGTAGCTTGCTCCTTATTGGTAAAGGTCTCGCTTAGAACTGAAACTTAAATTATAACAAAAGAGACTCGCAGCGGCCACGCAAATATGCAGTGTTTTGCCAGCTGCGCACGAGCATCCGGTCCAATGCTGGGTCAGCACGCCGGTATTCGGTTTCATACACTGAGCCGTACGTTGGCTCGTGTTAGCTTGCACAGTGGCTGCGTCAGTATGGGGTTCGTTTTCCAAAGCTTTAATATTTTGTCGTGATAAAGCGTCGGCAACAAAATTTTCATTTCCAGGTTTATAGAACCTTTTGGCGGTGTGGTCTTCGATGAATGCTTTCCATCGTTTAATTTTGGCAGTTGTTTTTAGCTCGGACACAGCGAAAGTGAGGGGCTGATGTTCCGTAAAAAAAATGAAGTGCATTAAGCACTTTTTTGTTACTTTACTGGAGCCATGAATGGAACTCACAGTGAATGGGGAGTCGACAAGTGTTATGTTTTTTTCAACTCCGTTAGGGACTTCAGTATCAATGAGAATTTTTAGAATAATGAAACTCTTTAAACGAATTGGGCAAAGGGGTAGACAAAAGTATTGTTAAAGCGATGCAAAACAAGTGGAAGAAAACAAGTTCGAATGGGTGCGCCTTGAGGAAAAGCTGTCAAAGGACAAAGATAGAATCTGTATGAATAGATTCAATATAAAAAAATTCCAGTAAAAAAGAATAACAGCATCCACATTTTTTTTTCTTGTAAAAGCAAATAGCGTTACTATATATAATTTAATCTCTTAATAACTTACACCGGGATGAGGTCAGTTTTTTTTTAACAAGTATTTAATTATTAATTATTAGGTTTGGGCGTAAACGAAAAATAGATGTAATTGCAGTATAAAAGCAAAAAAGAAAATAAAGAAAGTGTGGGCGTAATAGTTTTGGGCGGCATGTGGACGTGGACAATTTTATTTTGCATGCTGATAGTTATTTAAAAGACATAGATTAACATGAAAAAAAATCTAATTAATCTAATCTAATCTAATCTAATTAATCTTATTTTTAGCTGACAGACGGAAATGATCGACGATCATGATCAGCAAATATAATATTTATAGGATTAGAAACTCCTTCCTTCTCTTTAACAAATATTTCTAAAAGATCTTGTATACCCTTTCACTCTGCGAGTAACGAGTATAAAAATGGTTTTCGTGCCTTTCAATCATAAAATAAATCAGGGATCCAATTAATAGTTAGTTACGTTAAGGAGTGGTTCACGGTCCAGAGTATAGAGAGTATACAGAGTATTACCTTACTCATGCTTACCGCGGCTGAGTTTATGCTGAATCTGCATACTAAAAAACCAGTTATGACCCAAGACATATAGCAACTTAATTTTACTAATTACGGTATAAACTTACATATTCAATCAACTAGTTATTAATGTATAACAATTTTGAACGATAACCAAGTACTACCAACCAAACTTTGTTTTTCGTTTTAGAAGAAATTTTTGAAACTCCAGAGGCGATATGGCCATCTGCTGATGGAACACATTTTATGTTCGCACTATTTAATGACACCAATGTTGGAATGATGACGTACCCATGGTTATCGTCTGGAGCTTTATTCTCTGGAAGTGGGATGTTTTCTGGAAGTATTTTTCCCGAAACGAAAAATGTTAGATTTCCAACTCCAGGAACTACTAATCCTGAGGTGGAGTTGTGGGCTGTTGACATAACTAATGTGAGCGACATTAAAAAATTTAGCATTAAACCTCCTGCCTCTATTTATGGACAGTAAGACTTTTAATAAATAAGAGTTAATATGCTTTACATATATCTTGATTTGTATACTAGAGACTATTACCTCACATCAGCAGGTTGGATACCTGGTACCAATTGCCAAGTATCGGTAGTCTATATGGGAAGATCTCAAAATTACAGTGTTATTTCATTGTGTTCTAAAGTGGAAAACTGGAATTGTTTGGAAGTAAGTTATAATATTTGAAGTAAAACAATTAAACACGTTTGAATTCATTTTAAAGGTTCACTCTGAACGTGCTCCCGAAGATGAATGGTTGGATATCTTTCCCCACCCGGTATTTTCTTCAGATGGTAGTAGTTTCTTATTTTTGGCTAATATTCAGGAGTCCGAAAACTACCAATTTAGACATATTAAACATGTAACGATATCACAGCGAAGAATTTCTGTTATTTCTCATGGTCGATATGAAGTAAGTAATACTTGAAATGTTTGAATATCATAGTCGTAGGTTAGGTGGAAATATTCAATTAAGAACATGTCATAGTTTGTTTTCACAAATTAATTAAATAAATTAATTAATTAATCATAATCACAATTAATCATAAATTAATATAATATAAATTAATATTAATATAAATAAATTATAATATATTATAAATTAATAAAAATAGATAGCAAATTCGGTAGACAGTCCATGTTCATTAAGAAATACGTGCTATAGAACAATCTAAGTACGTCAAAAACAATTTAATTTTATTATTAAACTCAACTAGAGATGCCATAATAACCAAAAAAATTGTTTTCCAATGTCCAGAAAACAACATATTACCACGACACAAAACACTGAAGGGGAGCACGCCAACTGAATTAAGTCTGGTCAGATACTTCTGCCCTCATCCGATTCAGCTTTTCGATAGGCTTATAAATTTATTAAACTAAGAGTGCCTGATGGGAAGCTATATTTAGAGTATGATCTAATAGTTTAACGCAAGACGGGTAACTCGCAAAAATTGAAAAATTTGCAATGACTTTCGACAAGTTAGAGGAAAATGCTCTTGCATGTTGGAGACATACCGCATTTGTAATTTGAAATTGCAGAAAAGCGAAGCTTGGAGAACTTGAGACAACTTTCCGCCCAAGTGTATGCGCAGCAGGCTAAGAAAACTAAAAAAATCGGATTTTCTACCCGTTCCTCGTAGAGTAAAAGGGCATACTAGATGTATACTAGAAAATTATGTAAGAGGTAGAAGGAAGCGTTTCCGACTATATAAAGTATATATATTCTTGATAAGGATCAATATCCGACACAATCCATGCCCGTCTGTCCGTCTGTATGAACGTCGAGATCTCAGGAACTATAGAAGCTAGAATGTTGCGACATGCATTCCAGAGACATAGACGCAGCGCAGTTTTGTTAATTGATGTTGCCACGCCCACAAACCGCCTAAAACTGTCACGCCCACACTTTTGAAAAATATTTTGATATTTTTTTATTAGTCTTGTAACGATTAGCAAAAAAACTTTTTGTCACGCCCACAAACCGACCAAAATGTCACGACCCCACTTTTGAAAAAATCTTTAATTTTGTTGTTAGTTTGGTAAGTTTCTATCGATTTGAAATATTTTGAAGTGTTTTTCATTTAATTCTTTTTTTCCCAATTACTACAGATATTCCAGATAATGTTGAATATTCTTGTTCGTACTTCCACTAGCTAAGTAACAGGTATCTGATTGTCGGAGAACTCGACTATAGCATTCTCTCTTGTTTATAACTCGAATTTGGATTCCAATTACAATGGTCGTAGTATATGCCTTGTTATTTATGTAAATAAGAGGGTAAACACTAGAAAAGTATTCGTTTTCATAGCTGAGCACTAGCTGAGATACATCCACCAACGAGTGCGCATGAATAAATAATTATAAATCTCTATTACATTAATGTTTAAAATCATTCAATGAACTGGAACGAATGTATCAAATTTAAAAGTAAAAAGTTAAATGTTTCTGTTTTAAGCTCAGGAATTTTTAGTTAAGAAATATTTTTTAAGAACAAGGGAGTACGCTTTAGACGAGTTCCACGACAATCAGATACCCGCTACTCAGATAGAGGAAGTGCGAACAAAAAATTTTTTCATTTTCTGGAATATCGGTAAAAATTGAGTTAGAAAAATAAAAAAATGAAAATTATTATTAATCCTGTGAAAATTAAATTTTTTTAAACGTGTGGTCGTGACAGTTTTTGGCGGCTTGTGGACGGTGGAGTAGGCGTAGCAAATCTATTGTTGGAAAATTGATATACATTTACAAGACCAATAAAAAAATATCAGAACATTTTCAAAAGTGCACGCGTGGTTGTTTTGTTCAGATTGTGGGCGGCATAGTGGGCGTGGCGAAAGGTTTTTTTTTAAATCGATACAAATTTACAAGCTGACTCTGTTCGACTCTTCGATACGCGTATTTTCACGTTCCTCACCAAACGGTTCTTAACCGCATCTGTCGTGTCGTCTTTTAACGCATGTATTCCCCGGCAGGTGAGCCGTCTTTGCCTTCTTGGTATCTGAATGTTGAAGGCTAAAGATAACTGGTGACGTACATTTTTTTATCCTGAAAGGTCCGTTATATCGTTCGACAGGTGGTACTCCAAGGACCATACCGTGTTCCCCACCTGGGGTTTCCAGGGAGGCCTCCGTGGATTGTAATGGAGCGTCTGAACATGCGTAGCCTTATTCATGTTTTTCCGTATCAACCGAAGTTTTCCTTTAGTTGCTTGGAGTCTTCTGTCTGCGTTCTTGTGTCGTTGCACGTACCGATTGTCTATTCTTAATACAACGCGTTCGGCAACCTTAGCTCTTTTCCTTGCGTTATAAATGATAGCGAGTGGACTCCCCAGTACACGTGTTTACCGCCATTTGCAGCTCCGGACAGTTTTAATCCCATGTCCTTATATCCTGTGATAAGCCCTATCATTGCACTGTAGGCTGAATAACACCTTTTTGTGTGTCTCCAAAACGGAGACACATATTTAGTTTGTGTTTTTAATGACACTAGCCCAGATCTTTCATAATATCAAAAATTGTGGATGTGTCACAACCCCTTATATTTATTGAAGTTTATAGCTCCAGAATGGATGTACACTAGACCAAATGTATGCGAATTCTCAAAGCTGTGGGCTTGGTGCCGAACTTTATATTAATTAACAAATTTTCGTATACATTAAAAGTTTGTTTCTAATCCACGAAAAACCCACTGATTTAGTGAAACTATTTGCATTTTAATTTTTTTTACAAAAAGTTACAGCAATAACCATAGTAAAAATTATAAAAATTCACGAACCGTCTTTATAGGTCCCATTGAGCACAAAATTGCTCTAAATTTGATAAAGTGTTGTTGGGTTCTAAAAATTAAAATTTCTCAAAAAATTATTAATTATTAAAATTATTATTATTATTAAATTTAAATTACTAATTAAAATAACTTTAACCAAGAACTAAATAGGCTACAATATTAAGTACATTTCGTCGATTTACTATGCTGGAGTTATTTTTTGCGCTCCGAACTCCTTTTTTTATTTTTATTTTTTTGAATCTTGTCTGACTTGTGCACAATTTCAAAACTGTATTAAACCTTCTGTGTTTTTCGAGGTTTGTAGAAGTTTTGCTTGATGTTGTTTTTGTATGCACATTATCTGCACTGTGCACCCGCTCTCAAAGTCAAAATCCAAAGTTCTAAGCGTACAGACTGCGCTCTTGCAGTACATTTAAAAGCTTGTTTCTTTATGCAGTGGAATAAAAACAACAAGTGATGACCTAGCAAGGGCCCAAATCTAAAATGGTAGGCTCCCTAAGGGGAACACCCCGCATCATCCGGCAAGTGATCAACAGGACTCCACAGCTGATCAGCATTCAATCGCAGCAATTCCCACAATGTTGCTAAGATCGGCAAGTAAAAAGGTTTCGGAGCAATCTGATCAATCCGTTGTGGAGGCAGTTGGATTGCTACAGTTGGCCCTTCAGAAATACAATCTGCATGCAAGAGGCTTGTAGCAAGCTAACTAAAACGTATATTGAAAGGTTTTAAATCATTTGTCCGACATCCAAACCGTCTCAAATTAGCTGTTCGATAGGAACCAATTTATAGTTCTAGGTGATTTTAATATACCTGGTCCAAAGGTAAAGCACAACATGGCTTTATTAACTACTTGCGCGACTTATCGTTGTCGCAAGTTAACTATATTTGAAATTCTTTTTGGTCGATTACTGGACCTATGTTTTGTTATAAGTCCTGAATGTAAGTTTCTGTCCAGAGTAGCACCTCTTACTTAACCTAAAGATCCATATCATCCTACTTTTGAGGTGACAATTGACTTTGTAATCGAAGTAAAAGAAAAATCAGAGAACTCAACCAAACGAATACATTATTTTCGCAAGGCTAATTCTCTGAGGTTACATAATTTTTTATATGGCTTTAATAGGACTGATCTTTACGCTGGCAACATTATGTCGGATTCCAAAAATATTTTTTATACGTCAACTAAATACTTTTTTTAGCTCTTGTGTTCCGATGTACTAACCTTCTTTGTTTAGTAAGGAGTTGGCACTCCTAAGAAATATAAAGTCTAGACTTAATACAACATTTAAAGACAACATTTCTCAATATATCTTTTCTAAATATTTAAGAGCTCGGTTAATTTTTACCGTGCCTAATCCTCAGTATCATTAGTAACTCAGTAACCTAGTTTAAAAAAAAATATATTCTACATTACCTCATTCTGAACAGCATAATCAATATCGAATTTAATATTTTGTCCCACTCTAAATGAAAACTCACTGCTTTCCATTCTTCAGCATGTTAGTCCTGTCTATTCGCAAGGTCCCGACGGAATCCCTGGTTGGGTGCTTAGGTTCTATTAAAAAGGTACTTATTATAAGGTGATGATTGCCTTATAAACCCATTCTTTTTCCACTAAACTAATGTTAATTAACTTACCTTCCCTAGCTAACCGTAAACCGTGGCTAAAGTTTTTTGGCAAATCTATAGAAATTTACAAAACATTTTTTAAAAGTGTGGGCGTGACAGTGTTGGGCGATTTGTGGGTGTTGGAGTGGGCGTGGCAAATTTTTTTTTTGCAAATCTATAGAAATTTACAAGATATATTCATAAAAATCACATTTTTCAAAAGTGTGGCCGTGACAGCTTTGTGCGGCTTATGGGCGTTAGAGTTGGTGTGACAACATTTGGAAACAAACTTGCGCTGCGTCTATGTCTCTGGATGATGCATGGTTAATCTTAACATTCTACCTTTTGTAGTTCCTGAGATCGAGGCGTTCATACGAACAGACGGACAGACGAACAAACAGACCGACGGACAGACAAACAGACGGACAAGGCCAGATCGACTCGGCTATCGATCCTGATCAAGAATATATATACTTTATACGGAACATATACTGGTCGGAAACGTTTCCTTCT